TTTTTGATTTTTTTTTTTTTTTTTAATAAAATTGAAAAAACTGCCCAACATTTTTTTCTAGACTGGAATTCCCCATGAATTGAATTGACTATAAAATTATGCATGCTTATTTAGATAGTATGAGTGTATGTGAAAACAATCGCTCAGAATACCTAAATTGAAACTCAGATCAAAAGAATATAGTTTATTGTTCATCTGCGTGAGTTCACAGCTAAAATATATAATATTCTTGGATAATAACAAAGCCTGCAATCCTAAAATTAGGCCGTAACCCAACAAAGCTGAGGAACAGTAAGGAAATATGTAAAGTTTTGTATAATATTAATTTTTCGACCATTGTTTTATCGCTCCAAACACACAAAAATCTTTCAAGTATATATAACTCAGCAAAAATCACAGCAAATGAAACGGTAATCCGCTTATAAAAGGTGTTAACAAAAACTTAACAATCCACAAACATAGCAACAATTTTAATCCACAGCTTAAAAAGGACAGTGTTTATGTTATTTTGACAAATCTAGTACGCTTACAGTAGCTTTGTACGCAATGATATGGATAAAGCTGTTATAAAAGTTTTGCAATCCAGTTTGCAGCCATATTTATTTTTGTCGATTGTGCAACATTCATTTACCTGTTATTGTTTACAGAATTTGTATTTATTTGTCTTTTCATTACATAATTTTTTTTTTTTTAGCCAAATGCTTTTAATGCAGTTTGGTTTGTTCACCGGCTGCCTTCACGCATTGCGTAACTCATACGCTGTGTCGCACAATATATTACAAACTCAATTGTTTTTGCTAGCGTTCGTTTTGTGCTACTGACAAGCACGTACGCGTAAGTAAACAAGCATTTTGATATTTTCGCGTTCACTGATAACCACACTTTGTTGCCGTTTGGCGGTTGGGTGACCGCAGTGCGCTCATAAATAATCTGCGTACTATTCGGCATTTTTTATTTTCCTGTTTCGTTGTTTTATTTTATTTATTGTTTTTGTCTCTGTGGCTTATAATTTTGTACACAAAACTAAAAAACAGTCGGTTTTCTGTTTGATATACATTAGTCCCACACCAGCTATATATTGTATTTGCCGTGCCGTCCTGCTTTATTTGCAAGTTTTTCTTTTTTAAACTTCGCTTCATTTACACACCCTTTCTACTTATGTACTCTCATTGCTTACAAATAAATTATTTATATTTCTCGCTTATTTTGTCGCGCTTTGTTGTTTTTCCGTCTGTGGCGTTTTTATTTTCAACTATTTCGCTGAAAAGTACTCCTCGTTTATCAGATATGCTTCACC